GCCCCGGCTCGTTTGTGGAGGCCCCGGGGCCGTTGCTCTTCCCAACATCTGGCCCTGTTTAAATCGTGTATGAATTACTAAACAAATTATATTTCAACAATGTGTGTTCGTACAGTTCCAAAACGCTTACTATTCTTATAAAATTCTACTATTTTATTACGCTTGGAAATATCCATCTATGGTAGAGCTTAAACAGTGTAATAGTGACTTTGTTTTTAGAAAAGTGTGCATCAATTGCTATCATAGGCATAACTATAAAAATAAAAAATGTTTAAAGACCATGTTTAATCAATTTTGATATATAGCTACAGATTAACTCAGCTTACACTATCATTATTTAACATTAAAATTAGATATTAACAATAAATAAAGATGACAACGTTAATGTTTCTTTCTATTACAACTTTCTAAGCTCCATACTAATTGAATGCGACCTTCACGGGACCACATTTTATGTTCCATCATCACGCGATGCCGTGAAGCTAGCGAAATTATTAACTGTGATTTATAGTATAATTTATCACTCTTGTTTCGAAAGTTATCTGGACTTTGTTACAAATAATTAGGAAACTGACTAATACATCAATATATTAAACTTAGTCATACTTGAAGTTTTGTATCTGAATTTTAATGGTATACTTTAAAAAGTGGTTAGAAAACACAACTAATGTAAAATAAGATTTTATATGTTTTAAATTTTTCCGTTTTATGCGTCTTGTTGCCATTTCATGTTGGCATTTAGTAGTTTCTTATAGACGCAATATATAATAACATTAATTTTCTTAATACTATAAATAGAAATACGAAGCAAAAATGCAGTACAACCCGTAAATATTAGCACTTATGTCACTCCCGGAAGTAAATACTTAATAATGGCGCGAGTCCCTATCTAATACCAAAGACATTTAAAGTACTAGAGGAGAAAATATATTATACGCCGATGTTCCGATATCACATACGGTTTCCGTTAATTCCACAGCTAATGTATTGTCATTATCTCAATAGATAACGCAGTCAATGACCGGAGTATAAAACGTGGGAAAAAGATACAATAGACGGCGGATAGGAAGATGACATTTTACCAACTTTCACACATCACAATTGTAATCTGGAAATCAAAGCGCGCGAAAATATAAGTAAGTATTGTAAATTGTCAAAGCATTTAAAAGTAAAGACATTATTTAATGCTAATAGTGAAGAAAGTGTTTTATGTAATTTTTATTGGAACGAAGTTCCTTATCGCGCCTTGTGAAAGGGGGCTAGACGGCAAAAATTCTTACGAAAAGTTGTCACGACACTTTTTTGCTATTTGCTATTGTAATACACCGGTTCTCGTCCGATCACCGAAGTTAAGCAACGTCGGGCGAGGTCAGTACTTGGATGGGTGACCGCCTGGGAACACCTCGTGATGTTGGTTTTTTTTTTTCGTCGTAAGATTGGTGTCGAGATAATCTATCATACTGTTATGATATCAATTAACATATAAATTAATCGAAAGGAATTTCGTTCCATCCGGGTGTCCCTTGACACCTCTAAAGTTTTATTTTATTTTATTTATATATGAGTTTGTTGACTGGATGGATGGAATTGGATATATTTAATTACTATTAATCATTTAATGTGTGATTGGTTTTTTTAATTTGGATATTAAAAAAAATCAAAAACGTCCGGGATCTTGGCGACTGGCGCCTTCCTTAATAGTAATTAAATATCTCCGAAGCGTGGTTTAAAATAATTTAGAATAGCAAATGCACAATGTTAAATTTGTTATTGCGATATTAATGACAAAAATGCAATTGTAAGTATTATAACTACAGTAAGATAAAACTTTAAAATTCTATCCACAGTTCAAAAACAAAGGTTGATTGTTATTGAGATTGTACGTTAGAGAATTCCTATCAATATTCAATCCGTTTAAACATTCCATGCATACTAAACCATATACTTAATAATAAAGTCCGATTTTGTAATTGCAGAAAATTATATTATTATAATAAATTTAATTAGCTAAATGTAACCTTCTTTAGGCGCATGAGGGTAAAATTTTTACGAAATGTCACGAAGATGTGCAGCGTTTTTGTCGAAAAAAAGGGAGAGAATGATTGAGACCGATTGAGAGAGAGAGTGAGAAGGGTGAATAACCTTATAGAAATTGTATTTTCAAAATTTAAATTTCGTAAAGAGAATTTATGAAATATTAGTATTTTATGCAAAATAATTTATTGAAATCTCAAATTACGAATTGTAAATTAAAATGCCCCGTGTTTTTATTATCGAAGAAATAAATTTAAAAAATTAAATTTATTATTTAATCAATTCCTAATATATCTTCCATTTCCCCTCCCTCTAAGCCTAGGAAATCTAAAGTTTTAGATTTGTATAAATATAAACAAGACTTAAAAATTCGTTTACCAAAGAAGTTTCACTTCTGACATGTGTACTTTGTACGCACGCACTTTTTTATTTATATTAAAGGCAAAAGGAAACGTCTTTAATTAAATTGTATGTTTATTTATTATAATTATTTATAGAACACGTGCAAGAGGCTGATACCGCCTCCCATGGACACTCTTTCGCGTTTGCATTCACGTCACACGTGCTTCTGCGGCCTTTTAACAATTGGTACGCTCTTTTCTTGAAGTACCCTAAGTAGAATTGGTATGGAAATACTTTCAGTGGGCAGCTGGTTCCACATAGTAGTCATAAAAAACGACGGCCGTTGAAGCTTCATTTGTTATGCCATCTGGTCCACAGCTTTTGTCTTTCTTTAATTGTTCCATAGCTTTGATGCAAGAAAAGAGCGTACCAATTCTTGAAAGGCCGGCAACGCACTGGCGAGTCTTCTGGCAATGTCAGTGTCTACAAGCGGTATCACTTAACATCAGGTGAGCCTTCTGCATGTTTGCCTATTATAAGAAAAAAGTTTGAAACTTTAAAGCAACTTTTATCGATTTATATTATAAATTTGATTATCAATTACTCTCAGGATCTTATATTTGAAGTAACAACCGTAATTGTAGTTATTTTTTCCTAAAGTCTAAACAGTAAAAAATAGCTACTGCTAGTGTTGAATTGAACTCACCAGTATTTTGATATATATGACAATGAAATATCTTGCCGATTTTGTTATTTCATTATTTTAAATCACCAATGCATTAAAAATTTCACGTTTGTTGCGACATTTTCTGTAGTCCAGTTCTGTCAATGTCATCAAGAAAATCAAACGAAAGTTTTATTCTAATAATAGTTTATATATGGAAATTAAACACAAGCTGACACCTGCGGATAATTAAGTTGTACTATTGTATGTTGTATGTACATTGATTTGCAGGATAATGAACTACTTTCAATGCTCTACTTTCTGACATTAACACAACTTCCTCTGCCATAATATTAGTGTAGGTTGCTGTATTTATGACGTAATAACCTATCATCAGGAATTACGAATTTATGAATACAAGATATTTATAAAAAGAACCAGATAGCGTTTAAATTAATGTCTTGGTTGGTCTAAAGAGACGAGTAAGATCAGTGCAGCCTTCTCCACAAAAAAATGTGGCAGCTTAAAAGAGTCACTGCTTATAGTTGTTTGGACGTGTACATCGGTTTTAAAGAATAAATAAAAAATTAATTAAAAAAAAAACAAAATTCCCTCCACGAGTATTAATTTACACGATTAAAAGGATACAGAATACGTCAGACAATAACATTTCATTTTAATTAATTATTATTGAATAATTAACTTAAAAAATATTATATAATACCAATATAATAATAATGATAGGCTTTAGGAAAAAATTACTAGGAAATTGTTAGCGAATTTAATTTTTTTTTAAATAAAAAACCCAATTTAAATTTTCGAATGAGAATTAACCTTACCAAATCTCAAATTGCGCCCTGGCGTGGGCCCCATGTTGGGAGACACTGGTTTAGATCATGTAAGCTGTGAAAGAGTTTTTTTATTTTATTTTATACAGGGACCCCTACATCCTAGCCTATCAGCCACGCAATCAGGCAGATTTGTGACCGAGTGGCCAAGCAGCAGGGGAGTGTCAGAATCTCCCCTTTCTTAATAAGGGACATTATTGTCTTAAAGGGTTGGCGTCTCCCGCCGGGCCCGGGCGACAACTACTCCGAAAATATCGTCATAATATTTATAGGTGAGTCGGGGCCCGCTGCCCGGCGACACCCGCGTTACCTCTCGTGCTATTTTTGTGAGTGACATATCTGACAATCTTGTCGCAGAATTTTTCCAGCTGCGATCTGTGCTCAAGCAACATGTCGGATAGCCCATCCCGGGATACCCTCATGCCAGTCTCGAGTAAATGAACCACCGTTTGGTCGGTTCTGTCGTCACAGTCACACGCGGGGCTTGTCTTCAGTTTGAGTCTATGTAAATAGTATCTAAAAGCCCCGTGGCCAGTCAGGATCTGCGCCATGTGAGGTGCGAAACGCCTTGTCTTGATTTGTTTGTATGCCGCATTTGCATCTTTAAAAAACATTTTTGTGACTAAGGCTGTTTCGCCCCCCACATAGCGCTCGTTCCAGGTGTCTAAAGTCTTGAGTCTTGTCAGTCGTCGCAAATAGGAAAGCGGATACGCATCGTACCCTATTCGCGTCCCCCTATTTGTGTGAAAGAGTTATAACGTGTCTTGCTTGTTACATTAGCACTTATGTCAGACCGCATGTACTAAATTCCACTTTCCCGTGCTGTTATTATTGTTCTTGATTATGCAAATGTAATTTTCGTGTTCCTTGTGCCTATAAGCCGATTAAATTATGAAGAATCGGTAATGGAATTTATCGATTTCTTTATAATATTTAAATAAGTGAAGAGAACTCTTTTACTGGTAATTAATTAATTTTTTGGCGTTGCGTAGAGATGTGGGGTCTCTCTGCATCTTCTACCGCATTTACCATGGAGAGTGTTTAGAGGAGTTGTTCAGACTAATACCTGCAGTCGAGTTTCATTATCGGACGTCAAGGCAGAATACAAAATATCATCCGTATGGATCGTCCCCATCAAGCACCAGCCAAGCACACGAGAGCGACATCTTGGCACGACGCACGTTAACGGCTGGGACCCATATGGCTGCCCCACCAGCTGCTAAAACCGCTGCTGTGCCAGCACCGTCCCATCCACTTATGTACTCTAAACGACGCTCGTCCGGAGATGGTTCTTCACTCTACATTTGATTTAATTAGATAATAAAAGTGACAATTTATCGTTGTTAAGTTCTATAAATAAATTATAGATTTGTGTGTGGTTTTTTTGTAATTACTTCTATATTAATTGCTTTTGCTTCTCTGTATAACTTTTTGAAGTAAACAACATCCTTAAAAATATAAGAACATAATATGACGGTACAAACAACCTATCAATTAAAATAGAACATAGAAATTTCAAAATAGGAACAAAACTTAAACCTCCTTAAGGGCCGGTTTTTTGATCCGTAGTTAACTCAACTATTTGTTAAAAATCCTTACTATTAGTTAAATATCAGCAAAATGCATTTTTTGATCCGTGGTTAGAGCAACGAATGGTTAAATATCTAACCATTTGTCAAAAAAGTTAACTACTCAGTATAGGAGGGTTAACAAGATGGCCGCTGGTAATTTATATAGTAACAGCTGTTTGTCACAGAAATCAAACTATGATAAAAACGTTTATTACTATCTAATGATGAATTTAAACATAGTGAGATACTTTAATTAATGAGACGAAGATATTATATTAGAATGTGTTAAGGAGTGACCAAAAATATTTAGGCAACGCCATCCGCCAAAATGGAATGTAATTTTTGAACTGATTTATTATTTTTTTAATTTTGCAAAATTAATCACCAACTACTTGGATTGTAAACATCCGAACTGCCAAAAAACGATTTCCATTTTTTTGATAGATATTTTATTATTACTTTTACTGTGAGTGACATAATTAATTACAAAATTAAAAGTTACAACAACAACTAAATAATGTTGTAAATTATCATAAGATTCAATCAATGAACTACAAAAGCTTCAATTAATATCAAGAAACGAAGGAAAGATTAAATCATATGATTCTTCTACCCAAATTTTATGTTAAAGTTGATCGGTTGACAATAATTGTTCGCATTCAATAGCATTTAATATTTTTTTTTGGAAATGACGAAATGTCGCCCTCGGGGGACTTCAGATGAATGTTTGTACTTTTATAAAACGATGTATATAAATGTACAAAATAAATTATGAATCGTTTAAAGTGTTTTATTAATACCAAAGGGTTTCAAACCAGAATTTATTGGCTAACATCGATCGAACACAAGTTATCAATTTAAGTCTCCCAAAAGTTTCTGAAGTCTTCGGAGTCCTTGGCCAGAGATATAGGGGAGCGGTCGTAATCGGATCGACTGTTGTAATTATCGACGTCCGCCGAGAAGTCGTCGGGATATTTCTCTTGCCCGTCGTTCACGGAATCTCTCTTCGACTCCATTTGCATGTCGACGCTCGACACATCTTTATTCTGAGAGTGATATATAGCGTTCAATAAATCGTCGTTGGTCAGCTTTTCCGCATACCTAAGGGACCAACCAAATAACCGCGACTTTAGCCTCATAACTCATTAGTGTCCTTTCCATTGAAAATAAACCCTTGAAGAAATCTACGGCGTTTTCTATCCGATCCCCTAGCTCGTAACATTTTGGTGTCAGAAGTGGGATAGAAAAATGCCAATTACTCCAAGAGGAGTTTGTGGCAGAGTCTCCAGCTGTGGAGGGAGTGCAGACAAGGGCGCAATCAGCACGGCGACAAAGTTTCGATGCGAACCGCAGGATGGGCGAAAGCAACGATGACAACAACCTCCTTGCTCTGCGCCAAATGATACTTAATTTTCAAAAGTGGTACATGTTACAAAAGCGTTACTGTTTGAAAATGTTTCCGGTATTACGAAAGTATTTCATTTAGGTTATTGTAAAATTTATTGTCGATATACTGGCTTTGGTTGAATTTTTTTTCTCTAAACGCGTGCTTTGGCGGTCACAGAAAAACGATATTATATATTGTGTAATATTTGTTTTTAATGAACTTTTTAAAAGTTGTAAAGTCATTAGCATAGATTTGTTCGTGCCACTACTAGGGAAGTGAAACACTCCACGTTAAATAATAATTAAATTTATTATTATTAAGATACGATCTTTTTTTTTACACCATCGATATGTTGTTTTAGTAGGGATCCTTATTTTTGATCTTGTAATAAAAATTTGTAAAAGAATTTTTAAAATCGTGTCACTAGGTACTCTTTGAGCCAATTCGTTACAAACATTCTTACATATACAAATTGTTCCTCTTTAAAATGTTACATATGACTATAATAATAAATATAAACACGATCCGGAATTAAAATATAAAAAAACCGTCATAGGAAGCTATAATAGACCACCTTATTAATGTTATATATTTTTTAGTAAACACACTAGATTTTAGACATTACCTGTTGCGGTTCTAATGTTAGTAGAAAATTTATTTATTTATTTATATTATTTATTTTATTTAAAATGTTCCCATGCATTCAAAAAAGTGTTCGCCACTTCAGAATAATAGAAATCAACATAAAATGTTCTTTCTCTAAATTTTTGTTAATTCAATTGAGAATTTTTTTCAAAGGAAAGATGGATATAAATGCGTAACAAAAATCATAAACAATAACACACATTTCACATATGTACTGGTTAATTATCATATATATATTACATTATGTACCTAGAGAATATGTAAATACAAAATTTAATAAACACATTTTATTTTTTATTTTAATCTTATCGTCCTCGGGACGTTATTAGGCGTTAATTTCTAGCTATTTTTGGTGAAAAGGTAACAGAGGTAAAAAGTTTTTGACTGTTCAAAATAGTAAAGAAATGTTTCAACTTAACTCTGATGTTTTATTTATTATCTTATCGTAGACTTCATTTGGTATATATCAAAACATATTTTTTTACTAAAAGTGTATTTTTAATATAGTTTTTGTAACTTCGAAAATTTTATATTTATTGTTGCAATTTTATGCTAATATAAATTGCACCAGGTTCAATAAGTTTATTATGTCGATTTTGCGTAATTTCGCTGTAATATTAAACTTTAAGATTATAATCCTTAAAAAAATAGGTCTTTTAATGAAATAAAATAAAAAATCAGTGGCGCAACAACCTTTCTAGGGTTGGGCCTCAGATTGCTGACACACGCCGTCAACTTTTTGGGTCTAAGACAAGCCGGTTTCCTCACGATGTTTTCCTTCACCGTTCGAGCGAATGTTAAACACATAGAAAGAAAGTCAATTGGTTCACAGACGGGGATCAAACCTACGACCTCAGGGATGAGAGTCGCACGCTGAAGCCACTAGGCCAACACTGCTCTTTTAATAAACAAATAATAAATGTCTTCTGATGTCATAAAATACAATATTTTAACATTATCTTACAAAACACATTCATATAATACCTAAGAAGATATTTTTTTTTAATCGTCTTTATATATTGAAAGCTTGGATTTCTTTATCCTCTTTTATCTAAGATCAACTAAACGCCAAATTAATTACAAACGCAACCTATAACTTTGCTCCATAAATTAAACCACTTTTTGTTTGCAAAAATACACAAAAATTATAATAAATAATAATTGATTTTCTAAGTAAATTTGAACATCGTGTACTAATAATAATTCGTCTCTGAAGCCTATGGTAATTGATTTCCTGGGTTCTAGAATCTCTGGTCAACTCGTTTACACACGTCGGTGGCATTTGATGTACAGTAAAAGCTCCCTATTCGCGCTTCCTTTATTCGCGTTTTCACTATTCGCGGATTAAAAAAATGCAACCCAATTTCTTTATTCGCGGCAAAAAATTCCTTATTCGCGGATCTAATATTTCATACAAACTGGTGTTTAACGTAATATCATATAGATAATATGGAGTGTAATCCTGATATGAATGTTATGGAATGCTGGAAGAAATTTGACATAGCAAAATGCATCGTAAACATAAAAGAATCATTGAACGAACTGAAACCACACACATTGAAGTCATGCTGGAAAAAACTATGGCCTGCTCTGACTGCGGAAAATGACGAAGAATCCATGCAAGTTCAAACATTTACTCTGAATAATCTTAGTGAAGGTTTAAGAATGGCAAATGAGCTTTACGATTTCTTTATGAAAATTGATCCATCTATGGAACGAAGTCTTAATTTTATGAGGCAAATTTCTAATGCGACTGCTGAGTATCAGTCAGAATTGAAGGAGCTATTAAAAACTGCCAAGCAAGAGAAAATAACAAAATTCTTCAAACCATTGCCTAAGCATGAGGATCATGATTACATAATCAAAATGTTCAATAACATCAATAAAATTGATTTTCTTATATATTTGTGTTTTTTATTTTGGCACCTGTTACATATTCATTGCACTCCCTTTGCCCCGCATACCCAATACAAGTCACCTCTTACGAAACTACGCTATATATAAGGAAAGGGACAAGAGAACCAGGAGCTTTTTGATCGGATACCTCATATCGGACCGGTCAAGTCTCAAGTAGTTAAGTTTATTATATAATATATTTATCGTGCACCTAATATCGGGCCGATTAAATAATTGTATTTAGTTAAGTTTATTATTTGTAAAAGTAATTAATTAAAGTAATATTAATATATTTTGGTTTTTTTTGGAATCCACCGCTGGCCCTCACTTAATTCACCTAGGAACGTATCCCCTATAAACCCATATAAATTACCATTCTGTATTCACGGTTTCTGTATTCGCGGCATATTTATGGAACGTATACCCCGCGAATAAAGAGATTTTACATGGGCGTATTACATTTACCAAAAACTACAAAAATGTTTGATTATGAAATATTCACCATATTGGACATTTATTAGAGCATTGTTCAGATTATGATGGTTTTAATATTGGTGTATTTTGTGTGAATTGTTTATATAAAGTTTTTATTTAATCACCTCTCAGAGTACTTGGTTAGATTTACCGTCTTGGAGGAATGTACATGTTTATTGTTAAGTGTAAAAAACCTAAAAATATCGCTGCTAATAAAGCGAATATTTATACCAAAACTAAGGTGAATCGCCTAACCTTCCGTACGTATACGTATTAAATAGGTATATCTGAGTTAAAACAATTTAAATAGACAAATTTACTTTGGAATATATATTCGATATTTTTGCCGTAACGCGAGTGTCGTTCGGCTGAAGTGTTTCGTTTCGTTTGACGAGCTTTTAACACCGGCTTACGTGCTTTAAAGTGCATTTATTGCGTTACTAAAACTTTATCATCTAAATTTAAGTTTTTATTTAAAAAAAAATTTTGTTTTAGTTTTACGAATTTAATTTAATTAAGTTATTCTACGTTTGTAGAAAAAACTACACTAACAATAGAACAAAATTTACTCATAATTTTTCCCTAACGCGCCAAATGAAGTATAACTTCAAAAAAACGAAATTGTTGACTATAGCTAACTTCAGGGTGTCAGGTTTTTTGTGACGGTGTGCGCGCGCATCGTAAAAATTTACTCTCATCATTTTTCCCTTACGCGCCAAAAGAAGTAAAACTTCAAAAATATAACACTTTCTTATAGGCTTATTTAATATTTCAGCTGGTTTCCCTGGCTCACTGCAGCAGTAGTACTGGCAGCGGTTTCAGTGTTTCTCTATTTCGACACTAGAGGCGCCACTCACAGACTGACTCCGCTGATCGCAATTGCTTTCTTATTAACTGTGGGTAAGTTGTATTAATAACTCCTCATATTGCTATGTAAGACAAAAAAATGGACGTGATTTCTGAATGCTGGGGCAGCCGCAGGTCAGGCGAATTTCAGGCACAGGAGCCTAATCACCAACTTGCCTATTAGATTGACAAATCATTACTCATTTATTTATTTCCACATAATTATTCTATCTTAAGTTACTACTCCTAATTGGACAGATGCAAAAATCTTAGGCCCAGGACCTCAAAAGGTTGTAGCGTCAATTATTTATTTTTATTAACTAAAAATAGTTTAGGCATTTAACCTGCTACCTGATATTTTATATTTTATTTATTTTTTGAAGATTAAAGATAATATATGAGATTGAAATACGTAAAATATTATATTAAATTATATAAATAATTGTGTTAAAATAATCTACGACAGCTGCTTATTTCTATACAGTTTTATTCTTAAAAGGCTGGCAACGCACTTGCGAGCCTTCTGGCAATGTGAGTGTCCATGGGCGGCAGTATCACTTAACATCAGATGAGCCTCCCGCCCGTTTGCTATTACATTTAAAAAACGTTTTCACTTGTTTCCTTAAAACTAAAAATCAATGGATATCAAGAAACTATAAAAGCATTATTTCATGTATACGAGGCATGCCTTTTAAGTTCTGTCGTTTCCATATTTCCCGGCAATTTTGAATTTGGACCTGTACTATATTCGAAAGTGTTTAAATTTTGAATCTCAAAACAGTTAAAAGTATTAGGATTAATGCTATTGTGTAGTCACAGCGTCGATTTGAATCTGTCAAGTTACCTACGAAAATGAATCTTTCTAAGGAAAATGTTCGTGCAATAATTTTC